AAAAGCCATTCTTATAAGTCAGGTTAATGTCCGTAGGTGGATGATTGAGAAGTGGGTCATGCTCATACCCCTCTTTAAGAAGATTCAAGAATGCCTTAGGACTTGTGGCCCCTAGAAAGTTCTTTTGAGGCAGGATTGTGCATTCAGAAGTGTTCTCCTGGAGAGGCCCAGACGACATTCGTGATAAGGCATCAGCCTTTCCGTTTCTTGACCCAGGTCGATATGAGATAATAAAATTGAACCTGAAAAAGAACAGTGACCAACGTGCTTGTCTAGAAGACAATCTCTTGGCAGAACGGATGAATTCTAGATTTTTATGATCCGTGAAGACAGTCACAGGATGCTTAGCCCCTTCCAACAGATGCCTCCATTCGGAAAAGGCTTCCCTAATTGCCAGCAACTCCTTATTCCCAATGTCATAATTCCTTTCAGCAGATGACATCAAACGAGAAAAATAAGCACAGGGATGAAGCTGCATTTTTTCTCCTCGTCGCTGAGAAATGATAGCTCCCACGGCGGAGTCTGAGGCATCCACTTCCACAATAAAAGGGTAGCTCAGGATCAGGATGTACCAATATATTGGTGCAGATGTGAAGAGAGTCTTTAGCTTACTAAAAGCAGTTTGTGCCTCAGTTGACCATGCAACGGGCACTCCTTTCTTTGTCAGCTGTGTAATTGGTGCTATTACCTTAGAGAAGTTTCTTATGAATTTCCTATAAAAGTTTGCAAATCCAATAAATCGTTGTATTTCCTTAACGTTTCAGGGGCAGTCCAATCCACCACTGCCTTGATCTTTTCAGGATCCATGCTCACTCCTTCTGAAGAAACGATATATCCCAAGAACTGGATCTGGGCTCGATCAAACTCACACTTCTCCAGTTTGATGTAAAGTCGGTTCATCCTTAACCTTTTGAATACAGTGCAGACATGCTTGCGATGCTCCACCAGGTTGTCCGAAAAGATGAGGATATCGTCCAGATAAGCAATAACAAACTGGTCCAACAAATCTCGAAACACATCATTTATGAAGTGCTGAAAAGTCGCGGGAGCATTACATAGGCCAAAAGGCATAACTAGGGACTCAAAGTGTCCATATCTGGTTCTAAAGGCAGTCTTCCATTCGTCGCCTTGACGCATGCGTACCAGGTTATATGCCCCCCGTAAGTCAAGTTTTGTGAAGACTTTGGCAGAGCGGAGTCTTTCCAACATCTCTGCGATTAAAGGGAGTGGGTAACGGTTTTTAACAGTGATTTTATTCAAGCCCCTAAAATCAATGCATGGACGCAAGGTGGAGTCCTTTTTCTCAACAAAGAACAGGGCTGCTCCTGCAGGAGATGTTGAGGGTCTGATAAAGCCCTTCTCCAAATTCTCATCAAGCCACTCCCTTAGCACCTTTAACTCAGGTTCTGATAAATTGAAAATGCGGCTGAATGGTATTTCTGCTCCTGGAAGCAGTTCAATGGGACAATCATATGGACGATGAGGAGGTAGTTGATCCGCATTTTTCTGATCACAGACGTCTCGAAACTCATGGTATTGTGGAGGCAGATTGTCATATGACTGTGTAGTTACCATATCAGCCTGTGATTTCCTGATTGGTAGACAACTTGTAGCACATGGTTTCCTACAATGTTCCTCACAATGGGGGATGTAAAATTTATGGTCCGTGCTCCCCAGTTGATGAAGGGATTATGGGTAGTAAACCAAGGGATGCCCAGGATGACAGGAAATTTAGGTGATGTAATCAGCTGAAAGCTGATGGTCTCAAAATGGTCAGCCTGAAATTGGAGTACTAGAGGAACTGTTTCATGAGTAACTGGTCCTGATGATAAAGGTGAACCATCAACTGTCTCCATATCAATAGGGGCAGATTTGTTTCTCCTGAGAATATTATTATTGTGGGCAAACTCTATGTCCATAAAGTTTTCCCCAGCCCCAGAGTCCAGCATAGCAGAACAAGGAATTTCATGGCCCTCAGTAAAAAGTTTGATAGGGACAACAAAATGAGACTGTTTAGGACCAACTTTATTTTCTTCATCGATCAATGGGGAGATAGACTGGGTAATTGAATTTATGCGTTCAGGCAGGATAACATCAGTCGCAGCAATTGTTCTTTTGACTTTATTAGGACAATTGACTGCGTAATGCCCAGAGTCCCCACAGCATAAACATAAATTCTCCAAACGTCTTCTCTCCTTCTCTTGAGTAGAAATTGCTCTTTTAACAGTATCTACTTGCATAGGTTCAGGTGTGTTATAATCTGAAGAAATGTTTAAATCCTTCTGACTGAACTGATTAGCAGAAAAACGCATGCCACCATTACTTCCCAATCTCTCCTTTCTTCTTTCTGTCAGTCTCTGGTCAATCCGAATGCATAATTGGATGAACTCCTCAAGATCGTTAGGAGTCTCTACTCTGGCGAGCTCATCCTTCACCTGTTCAGAGAGCCCCTGCCGGAACTGACTCTTTTGCGCTGCTGGGTTCCAGGTGGTGTCTGAGATCCAGCGTCGAAATTCAGTTGTATACTCTGCAACAGGGCGTCTACCCTGCCTCAAACTATGCAGCTTTGCTTCAGCGGTAGCGCAGCGGTTGGGATCATCAAAGACCTGGTTCATTGCAGTCACAAAAGTCGCAAAACTGTTTAACATTGCATTGTTTTGCTCTATATAGGGAGAGGCCCAAGCTAGGGCTTCCTCAGTCAGGAGGTTTATAACAAACAATACCTTCTGCCTCTCAGTATTAAATGCAGCAGGTTGCATCTGGAAATAAATGCGGCATTGGTTAAGGAAACCCCTGTAGTGGCGGCGGTCTCCATTGAACTTGAGTGGCAGAGGCATGCGTGTATTAGCAACATCACGGGAGCACATGTCCAGCAATCGTGTCTGCAGAGCATGGATCTCTTCCTGTTGCCCCTCTACTACACTTTGCAGTTCAGCAAATTTCTTTTGGTAGGTAACACCAAACTCTTGTAGCTCTGAAAATTTGCTGCCTGACAGGAGCCATGGCATTTGCTATAGCGGCCTCCATGTGTGGGCCAGATTATTCTGTCACGGTGTAAGGTCAGGTTCAGAGACCAGTTGCTATAGCAGTAAAAGGCTTACCTGGAACCAGCAGGATAGGTACACCTGCGGATCCCCCTGGGAATGACGCAGGCTCACCTGAGGTGCGGGGTCTAAGTATTAACCGGTATTCACCAGAGCTCCTAATGGTGGAGATGGATTGGGCTGCGTGTTAATACCAGGTCGCAGATCTCAGGATCACCCCACCAGGGAATGAGCAGACTGGGAACCAATAGCGGATCAACAGGTTAGGGATCAGACGAAAGCAGAGTCGGTCACAAGCCAAGGGTCGGTCACAAATGGTAGCAGATCAATCGTGGTCAGGAACAAGCCAAAGGTCAGTAGCGGAGGTGTAGACAGCAGCAGGAACAGTAGCAGGATATTGGCTGGAAAGGCACAATAATCTGGCAAGGAGGAAGTCCAAGGACATGGCTTATATAGGAAGTTCATGGGAGGAGCAAGGAGTTCAAGGTTCAAGAGCAAACAAGGCACAAGGCAGGATTATCCAATAGATGAGGCAAAGTGTTGTCCAGCATCCTAGGTAGCTCAGTGAGTAGAGTTACTGCCTGACACAGTAGAAGTCCCAGGTTCAAGTCCAGGCCTGACACTCACTTTTGTTGCCATCGGTTTAGACATAAATGGCTGTGTATTGAGTTATTTTCAGGGGACAGCAAATTTTCACTGTTATACAAGCTGTACACATTACATTACATTGTAACAAAGTGTAATTTCTTCAGTGTTGTCCAATGAAAAAGATATATATAAAATATTTACAAAAATGTGAGGGGTGTACCCACTTCTGCAAGATACTGTATAACTCAATCAAGCATATGCAAAGTGCCAAGTGTGACCATCAAACAGTAGGGGAGGTCACAGTTCTGGAATGTGGGAAAGAAAGCAGCTACAACTGGTGGATCCAGTGCTGCAGTAGACTGGTTGCATGTTCCTGATGTCATCTTACCGCAGCAGCCTGCTGAGGACTCTTTCACTGCACAACTAAAAGAAGATGTCCAGTGAAGAAGACTTATTAGCTGGGGCATCACAGGTAAGTGTTTTTTTTTTTTTCTAACCAAGGCAGTGATTAGATGGAGGGAGTGCCCAGACAGCAAACCTGTAGTAAGAGAAATACAAGGATGGCCATTGCTGCCCCCTTCTAAAAATTACAACAAGTATGCAGGCCAGGAAACAAAAAGAAGCATCAGACAGAGGCCTTTAACTGCATACTCCAGCTCAGTGCCTCATAATATTGAAACAAAAGAGCATGGCAATCAGACAGTTAGTATTTCAGAAGAAGACAGCAATAGCAACCATTGTGACAGGTTAACTAAAAGGTAACTATCAAAAATCTGTCTGTTAAAGCAGAACTAAAGGGTTGCCTGTCCAATGGTCCATCGCTGGGATCTTCTTCAGAACTCTTTATTGGCCGACTTCACTCCTGTGCAGGTGTAGGAACTCGTCATCCAGGCACTCAGAGACTGGTCCAGAACTATAAGCTGAGCTGCGCATGCATAGCTCATTTTATAGAGCCGGAGAAAACAGCAAGCAGGCAGGTAGGGACATTTTATTGCAGAAGAGACCGTGCATGTCTCTTCTGCAATAAATGCCTGCCTGCTTGCTGCTTCTTACAGCAGAATTTCAGTTCCGCTTTAAAGACTGTTTCCTATCAGAAAATGGTCTACAAGTATTTATTTTAATATAGCATAGCAATGAGTAAATGCAAGTGCTTTCAGGGTTAAATCTGTTCAACTCCTTTTGTCAACTCGAACTCTTATTCAGCCTGGGATCCAGCAGATCGGTGCATGGTGCATTTTTTTTTTTCTACATTTATTCAATAATTTAAGAAAAAAAACACAACGGGCAGGCATGCAAGTGTAGTATATGTACAGAAGAACACTAACAAATAAGAGTCTATTCAGCTCTATGTAAGGAATAACAACTTACTCTGCAGTTTCATGCTGTTCCTTGTCTACACTTGACAAAAGGTTATCAATCCCTTGGTACCAAGACAAATTCCAAGCTATCCGAAGCATGTCTGCTACTGGCTTTGTCGTTATCCATTCCGAAGATAAAGGAGAGGACATGGTGTATGGACTTACTGCATGATGAGTGCTTGCAATGACAGGAAGGTTAAACCTGAAATATAGGTAACCATGTAATACAATCCCAGAGAGATCAAACAGATTGTGTAACTTTAATAAAAATATCTCTAGCCAATGTTTAGTGTTGACATGCAAGAGTTATCTGTATGAGAGGCTGACATACCTATTAAATGTTTGGTAATCTTGTCTCTTGACATGATGGCAACAGTATATTTTGTCAGAATCTTATGAAAAATAAGAGCAAATTGCCTAGTGCCCTACCCTGACGTCCAACATTTGTGATTTTTTTTCATTGGTTTCTATTGAGAAATTATGATCATATATGGCCATCTTAGTTTCACAAATGGTATGCAGACTAAATGTCCCAAAATTCATATATTTCAGAGCCAAAATTACAGCAATATTTAGGATTTGTTTACATTTGGAAGGCGTAGAGGTTGGTTAGAAACTCTATTCCTTTTCCTCTGCTGTGTCCACATTGAAGAGATTCCCTCCCACTTTCAGTCCTAATAACAAGGTGTAAGATAGCATACCCAAGAGGAACTGAAAGAAGTAAAATCCTGAAAGAGGCTCCAACCCTTTACACAGTAGTGAAAAGGGATTTTTAAGGCTGTACAGTGTATGTCTCCACTGGAGAAATCTCTTTGTGACCATGGTTGCTAAAACAGGAAGTAGCCAATACCTTCTCAATGGAGCTATAGACAACAATAAAAATCCAACAAAGATTCTACTCTTCCCCCTCCATCTAAGAAAGGAAAACGTTTTATCCAGAGCTGAATCTGCCATTTAAATACTACTAGCATAACTTTCTGAGACAACTTTTTGTAATTGCCCATATGCCAAGAATCTGCTTGAGAGTGGAAGAACAAGCCAATCAGGCTTGTTTGCGTTTCACAGAGCTGGCATAGTAACATATTACTAGACAATTGGGGAAATTGTTTAGGTAAGCTCACAGAAGGGAGAAGAGTACTGAAAAGATTTGAAAAGCACCGTGATAATGAGCAAAATGAAGACAGTCCCAAGATGAAGGCTGTAACGTTTTAAATAAAAGTGTCATCACACACTGGTGCATGCTGTGGCACAAGCATGTCATTAACAAAAGTGGATAAAGAGAATTGCAAACATTTTGGCAAAACAGATGACATTTGCATTTCAACTTCTTAAACCACTATTAAACCCAAAATGTAATATATTGCAGCTTACCAATCCTCTTTCTTTAGGCTTTTTTACCTCTATTTCACTTGGTGATCCATCTAGTAACAAACTTCCTGACCAAGGGTGTCTGCATTCTGGAATAAATAGTAAAGCAGACACCAATGGACAGCAGCATTGTCAGTCTAGGGAGGGAGTAGTGTTAGATGTAGATGGACTAGCAGATTTAGATGGACTTGACTAACAAATTGAAGCTGAACTCTGGCTAACAAACACTTCATAAGCAGTTACAGCAACAGTTTATTTTTTCCTTTTGGGATAAAGGTTTTACATAAATAATAGCCGACTATTGTAAGCAACTCTATCAGTGGTAAATAGTTTGTCTTGACCCTCTAACTGCTATTTTGTCTGGACAGCTTGGTCTGTTAAAGTAAATTGAAAAATAACAGATTTACTGGTTGGATTACCAGGTGAAAATAAAGGAAAAAAAATTGAAAATGAATGCAGTCACCATATCTAAGAATTGGGGAGTTGCAATTTATTTATTTATTTTTGTTTTTTGGGTACATACTGATTTAATTCAACTTCAAGCAGAAAGTATGCGTTAAAGTATATTTACCTTCTAGATACTGTGACAGGCAAGCTAAATGAAGGCATGCTATTGGTTGTACTGTGTGACCTGCAAGAGATATGAAATATAAATACCCAATAAATAAAATGCTCAAAGTATTAAAGCCCCACAATGGGCACAGCTTTTTAAGCATTATATGTTCAATTTACACATTGACAGCCTCATGTTTTTCTTGTTCAAACAATTTTATTAACAATAAAGCAGAATGGAACAAACAAGGAGACATTGCTAATGTACAATGGACATGGAAGTGGCAATGGGACATAAACAATGAATGAGAATCACAGTACAAATGTCTATATGCTACTAGCATAAACAGGTAGGTAAAAGTTGGCAATAAAAGACATTATTGTTCCAGCCAATCAAAGTAATGTCTCCCGAATGCATTAAAGAAATAGGGGGAAGTTTGAAGGGGGGGTCAGACCGGGGTGGAAGGGGGGAGAGTGAAAGTGGAACAACAACCATGACTCCATGAGCGTTCAACAAGTTTACAGCAGCCCCTGCGTGCTACGTACAAAGGGCTATTGATTATATCCAAAGCGCATAGTATACAAATCAGGGGAGAAGGAGTGATTCGTCAAAGTAAGGGGGGAGGAAGCGCTTCTACCCAGGGGCTCCATATGCGCAAGATTTTAGGAATCGTGTCAAGAATTGTGGCTTCCACCTTTGCATGTATCATGGCTTGTGTTATTCTAGTTTTGGCGGCTGCGATACTCAAGGTGGGGGATTTCCAAGATTTTGCTATAACCTGCTTAGCCGCCGTCGTAACTTGCATAATGAGCTTAAATTGCGAATTGGAGATGCCAGGGGGGCATTGATTAAGTAGGGCTATTGTAGGGTCGGGTTGTAGGGTGATAGTGCTAAGTGTAGATATCATGGTGAAGATTTCACCCCAAAAGGTTCAGTTATTGGACAGTCCCACCACATATGGTAATGCGTTCCTGGGTCCGTACAGCCTCTAAAACAGTTGGGTGAGTAATTAGGGGTAAATTTTGCGATTCTCGCCGGGACTAAGTACCATCGGGTTAAGACTTTATAATTCGTTTCCAATGCTACAATGTTCTGTGAGGATGATTTGGTGTTGGCCCAAATGCGGTCCCATTCAGACAGGTCAAATTTCTTTCCCAAATCCGCTTCCCACTTATGGGTATACAGAGGGGGGGACGCGGTGATCGAAGTGGTGAAGAGTGAATATAAGCAGGAGATAAGCCCACGTCTATGAGGGTCTTTGTAGCATGCTCGTTCAAAGAAAGACATGGTGTCTGGCCGATTGGTTATTGTGGTATAGGGGGTGTAAAGGTGTTGTAGCTGCAAGTATCGGAATATCTCGGAGGCTGGGAGGCTATGCGTTTCCCGCAGCGAGGCAAAGGATTTAAACTTATTCCTCTGTAGGAAATGATGTGCACGGAGTAAATTAACAGAGGACCAGGCTTTAAATAAAAGGGGTGTCTGCCAAGCTGGGGGGAAAGCTGGGTTTCGCAGGAACGAGAGCATAGGATTATGTGGTGATTGGAGAAGATAACGGGTTTTCAGTTTGTCCCATAAGGATAGAAAGTGAGAAGTGATGGGGTTGGTTATAGAGCGGCGGTCTATCGGCCTCAACCAGAGTAAGTTTGCTGTAGATAAGGGGTCACATTCTATCGATTCGAGCGCAACCCATTGAGGGATTTCAAAAGTTGCATGGTATTTAGGCAACTGGGCTAAATGCGCTGCCTGATAATATTTGCTAATATCAGGTAGGCCTAGACCTCCACTGAACTTAGGGCGATAGAGGGTGGAGCGAGGTATACGAGGACGAGTATTGCCCCATACATAGGAAAAGATGCGACGCTGCAGTGTGCGGAGGTAATGAGGAGGTACTGGGACAGGGAGGACTCTAAACAGATATAGAATTTTTGGGAGGATTGACATCTTGATAACTGCTATTCTGCCGAGCCATGCGAGGGGAAGGGAAGACCATTTGGTCAGAAGGGTTGAGAGGTGGTTAAGCAACGGAAGATAGTTAGCTGCGTAAAGGTCTGATAATCTAGGTGTCAGTTTGATCCCCAAGAAAGGGATATGACACTGTGACCATGGGAATGGTAAAATCTGCTGCAAGTGTGCGACAACTCTATAGGGGGGAGAGAAATGTTGAGTGCTGTTGATTTATTAGGGTTTATTATTAGGCCCGAAAGCGCGGCAAATGTCTCAAGGAGCCGGAGTAAGGAAGGGGAGGAAGTTAATGGGGATGTGAGAAAGAGCAAGACGTCATCTGCAAATAGACATAATTTATGATGCGTGCCTCCTATTTCGAGTCCCTTAACATCCGGGTTAGCTCTGATTAAGAGGGCCAGGGGCTCTATAGCCAGGGCAAAGAGCAGGGGGGACAGAGGACAGCCCTGTCTCGTGCCTCTGGGAATCGGGAACTGAGCTGATCTGTGCCCCAGATACCTAATACTGGCCGAAGGTTCTCGATACAGCGAAAAGATCCAGGTTAAGAAGTGTGGGCCAAAACCCCAACGATGCAAAATATAGTTGAGGTATGGCCATGAGACTGTATCGAATGCTTTCCAGATATCTAGGGAGAGGAAACAGGCAGGAATATTACGAGACCTGGCTAAGTTTGCTAGAAGAGATGCACGCCTGATGTTATCTCCTGCTTGTCTAGTTGGGACAAAGCCCACTTGGTCGTTATGAATTAGAGAGCAAATACATAAGTTAAGACGCAAAGATAGGATTTTTGCTAACAGTTTGATGTCAATATTAAGAAGAGATATTGGCCTGTAATTGGACCACTGCGTGTCATCAGAGTTCGGCTTTGGGATCATTGAAATGTTCGCTTGCACTGTTTCGTGGTTAAAGGTTTGGCCAGATAGTAAATCGTTAAAGGCGTTAGTAAGGATGGGAGTGAGGAGGTGAGCAAATTTCCTATAATAAGTGGCTGAGAAGCCATCCGGTCCTGGGCGTTTCTGTAATTTTAGATTTTTAATAGTGTCTAAGGTTTCAGTAGGAGAAATAGGTCGCTCAAGCGCCGCTAACTGGCACTCTGAGAGTTTCGGGAAGGAAATGGAAGTTAGGAGGGTATCAGCTTGTGCGGGGTCAAAAGGTGTGGAAGAAGAGTAAAGCTGTGACAAATGTTTATGGAAAGTCTGTAGAATGTGTTCTGGGT